TCACACCTTGCTGCTGTGACAAAAACGAAAGCGAGTCGCTGGAACACGGCTCTGAACAGCTGTAATCCATTCATTTCAAGCCGCGAGAACGGGGTGGGTAAGGTCCCTGTTTGGCCGATTAGTCGTACTGTACTTAAGTGTATATTAATGAAGTATATATATATATATATATATATATATATATATATATATATGCATATATATATACACTGCATTAGTCTTCACTCTAAAATCAACAATATGATGAAGAAAACAAATCAGATACGGGTGATATTGGTAACGTTCAGCGCTGCCGATTTTCCGCTCCGCCTGCTCACAACAAACATGTAAGTCGTAGACACGTGTGCACTATTTTGGGCGAAATGACACCGAATGCACGAGAGGTGCTTCCGACCAGCTCCACAGTTCTCGTGGTGCAGGACAGGTCCGGTGTATTTCCAGCTCAGTGGCTCGTGCTGATTGGCGAACACAGACCGGGCACGGCCGTGACTGTGGGAGAGCTTCCCCGGCGAGACCATTAGCTGCCGCAGCTGAGCTCTGGCGCCCGCACAGCACCAGCCGGCGGCGATTGCCCTGCAGCTTGCTAAATAATGCAGCCGCGCCGGGATTGTGCGTGAGGCAGTCCGCGAGCCGCCGGGACACACGCCGGAGCTGCCTCAGCCCGCCCCAGCTGACGGACGCCGCGGAACGGCGGACGGAGCAGCTGCCCCAGCTCGCCCCAGCCGGCGGGACGCCGCGGAACTGCACACGGAGCAGCTGCCCCAGCTCGCCCCAGCCGGCGGGGTGCCGCGGAACGGCGCACGAGGCGGCGTCACTGGCACGGCTCCGTGCCCGAACACGCGGCGCCCCGTCGTCACCCCACGTAACCGAGTTCTAAACGGATGACAAATGACGGCCGAATGCGCTGCCCGATTTTTCACAGGACTCAGCACCGGCTGTTGTAGTGCCGCCGCCGCGCCGCCGGTGACAAATGACACCTGACCCGCCCGGAAACTGACACTCACCCCAGTGACAAATTAAACAGTTTGATGGAAGTTATCGCGCGGCTAATTTAGAGCCGGTTGTTTAACGGCCCCGGGGCGGCAGTGGCGCGGCGGCGCGGGCCCGATCGTTATGTGAAAACGGTGGCCACACAAGCCGCCAGGCCAGCAGGCCTCGCCACCGCGCGGAGCCCATTGAGCAGCGCTGGGACATTTCTGTCGGCGTGCCAGGTGTTTCACGCCAGATTAAAATTGCACGCGACTAAGGTTTACTTCCCCAGTGCCACTGGGTGGGCCTACAAACCAAAATTCCGTATAAACTGAAATTCATGAACTATACGGAAACTAGCGCAGTGATGAAAGAACGGAACCTTCGATCCACTGTAAAAACTGTGTGTGAACAAAATCGCGTGATTTGGGATGTTTCGTTGGAGGGTTTACGATACTAGAAATTCACATTTGAGGAAGCATGTAGGAGGTGGTGGCAGACTCGCCTGATTTATTTGTGTTTGTTTTCTCTTTGCTCTGAGAGCCCTACAAGCGGTGCGCAAATTATGTAAAGAATTGGCCCAATTAAGGGCCAATGGGAGGGAAACATCAAGCAAGGGCACATCTAGCATGGAAAACAGTTGGTTGTTTGGTTGTTTGGATTAGAGCCCTTTCGACCAGAAATGATCATTTCAGGACTATGGGATGAATGAGAATGGTTAGCCGTGGGGCAGGCTGGCATGCACCTGGGGGGGGGGGGGGGGCGGCAACTAACGAGGTTTAACCTGAGCATGTGCGCTGGGTACCCGGTCGAGGTACTCCTTCCCAGGAGGTCTCTCGGCACACGCATGGATGACGCACGCAGCCGGACTCGGAAAGACGGGGTGTCGCGAGTATGCAGGATGAAGTAAGAAAGAGGATAAGAGGGTTGGAGGATCATGGAAAAAGCTTTGTAAAAGACTTGACTTAAACAAGCGCCTGGGCGACCGGATAAATATCGTTTGCTCGGGTGGGGTCAATTTCGCCCGGGATCTAAAAAAGATAAGAAGGGTAGAAACACCAAATTCACACGGTAGGTTAGCCAGCATGTGGACTCACTTGCGTGAAAATTTGGGATTCCTAAGCCTTGACTTTCGGATAAAATAAAGTACGACTAGGTCATATTTCAGACTGGTGTCCAAAGTGACCAAGGCGTCTTCGTGGAGCCCCCTGAACTTGGATTCGTGCACTAAGCAAAAGGTCATAGGTGGTCATCCAAAGTCAGCGACCTTATTTTAATTTTAGAAGGTCAGGGCTACCAAAATCCTACGGGAGTGTTTTGAATTTGCATTTGAATGAGCGTCAAGGATTACGCTTGGCGATATGTTCCTGAAAACGAAATGTTGGCCGGGGCCATTTTAGATCAGTGAGCTACCTGAACTTTAAGAAGCCCATGGAAGATGTCTGTCAGAGTCACTGTTAGTAATAAACTTGAAAGGAGCACGAGAAACTGCCCACACAGGAAGCTCTCGAGCAGAAAGCAGGTTAGTTTAGACCTCAGTCTGACCTTCATACCTCACCCTTGGTCAGTGAAATTTGTCGTAATCCTTAATGTTTTCTTGCCTGAGGAACTATCACAGCGATGTATGGCATTACGCAGCGCTTCGTCGTTGCATCGGGTTGAACGATTGCCTTAAAATTGCCTCCACTGACAGGGGCCTAAACAGGCCGCGGCGTTCGGAAATTATGTTGTAAAACCCCCGAGGGTTAGATTGACCTCCCACCCGGACGAGTGGATATCGGTGTATCCGTGGAGAATATCGGCGGTCACCAATGCGATGATTTCTTATTGGTCCTTCTTGTAGCACTCTCAACAAACATGGCGTGGCATGCCTGACATAATATGCGTCATGGATCTCGACACTCAAACAGGCATTATCAGATCCACAATTCAGCCATTGTAAAAATATCGTTTTTTTTGGGGGGGGCCGGGGGCGTCGACTACAGCGGCCATTTTGTGCCCAACCCAGCTATTGTTAACTCGGCTGTCGTCGGTAAGCTGAATCGCGCCCAGGAGCCGTCGTGCGGTTGTTTATGAGCTAGATAATTTACGTTCTTTAAACGTTCCATGTAGAACTGCGTATGGATATGCATCAGCCCCTGTCAGGTTCTAAATGATTGTGCAAAACCAAAAAGCGTGCTTAACAGCAGAAATTGCTTTGAGGCATATGTATTTACAAGCCTTTTTAATATTAGCGCAAAATAGGATTTCTGCATAGTTTTCAGAGTTCTTCTGACAGAGATGTGTTCTAAGAAATCACTTACGAAAAACACCGCCCACATGCCCATTTACCATGCTCCAAATATCATTGGAGCTTTGGTAAATATAATTACGTGAATGCTAAATGTACCTGAGATCATAACTGGTGTATACTCCAGTGATCTGAACTGCCGGTAACTGTTGGATCATCCGAACTGCTTGCCTTCATCTAATGTCCAGGGATCAGGAACCATGTACCTTTATACATATACAGGTATTGTATCATACAATATATATATATACTGCTCTAGCCATACAGGCATAATTAGGGTGCTCAAATGTCAATGACCTGATAATAGCTGGAAGGGAGACACACAGTTGCTCGAAAAGCCTTTACGAGAAAAATACAACCGTGTTTGACTTGAATGGGCGACCGGGTCAGCACAGAAGAAAACGCTCTTGGCTGGGTTATTCTTTGCAAGCAAACAGCGTTGCGGTGAACGTTCTGACTGAAATAGGTCATGTTCGATATAAACATTGTTACGATCAGGTACCGGAATTGAAACTAGTGCCACCCTAAGACAATTTTTGTGCAAAACTACAAGGTGCGTTTTTTAAATATCACGCTTTCTGTTGGTCGCGTCACATTTCCTGCCAAAAATTCTAGATTAACGAGATTCGAAAAAGGGTTATTTTTCACATGTTGTCATTGTGGCGAAAGGACATGCAGCCTGATTACCGAGGTGGAACTTTTGGCATGCAGCCACACACCTGGACTCAGCCATACAGTGTGAATGATGGCGCATCCTCCATCTCACCTTGGCCAATAGGTAAAAGCTTGACGCGAAGTCGATGATGCCCCAGACTTCTCAAACCCATTTCGAACCGGTACAGACCGCCATCTATAACAGTGGCTGAAGTCGGAACTAGACGAGTAACGCGAACAAAGCTCACCAGATGGCCCTCTGACTCAGTTCTGATCCAGGAAATGCCGCCGGGTTTCAACGGTGCAGAGATTTGCTCAGGAAGTCTTAATCCGCAGGTCTAAGCTGGCATAAATCAGGCAGCTTGCACGCTAACGCTCAAGCTGTGGGGCGTTTTCAACATGGCAGGCCTGCACGCGTCAGGCGACACCACAAGCGTGCACCGTGGATGTGAGGAGCAGGCATTCACGCATCAACTCGGGCTGCCTGATTTCAGTGCGCATCGTTCCTTCCAGCTCTACCGTAGCACTGTCCCTTTGAAGAAAAAGGAGTGCGTTTCCCATGAAATAGCGCATTTGTTGTGCCCAAAGGTGTGAATGAACATCATAAAAAGAAGGTGGACCAACTCATTATTAAGTAATTTCTCCCCACGCATCATCTCTCATGCATTTTAAGTAATTTCTCCCCATGCATCACCGAAACTTGAATTTCCATAAAACGATAATGGACCACGGTCCTTACACACCCTCTGGTCCTACGCCTCTGTGAAAGGCTGTGACCCAGGTAAATGCCCTGTACGACACACAATTATCAGCTCACAGGTGCTCCTTAACAGCCGCTCCCCTCCGAGTTGTAGGCGAGGTGCTGCCAGGACGAACGCCTCTGCTCACACGTCATATTCCACGTAGGGTATGTGCGCGCCTTGGAACGGACAGAAAACATACGACGTGAGCTAGCGAGCTAATGAGGTGGGGAATATCCGTGATCAGACCTGACGTAACGAGCCCAGTCAGCATTGCTCGGCCAATCCAGCTCGTCCCTACTTACCTTCGTGCACGGTCAGCGTCAGCGTCATGCCACAAGCACGACTGATTGTTCGGAGGTGTGTATTTTTTAGTTAATCGTGGAGCGTCGGACAACACCGCAGTCCATTGTACTTTGCTATAAAGGCGTTATAAAGCAGCTGGGCATGAGCACAATGCAGCCATCCCACAGTATTGACGCCCATACCATGAGAGCCCGGACACTAGGCCATGTGCACGCAGATTCACACTTAGCTTTTTACACCAGCTACCGAATTATCTGTTCCGTTGCTTTCGATAAAAAGAACACAGTACTCAGTGAATGTTAGGCACAACTGCAGCCATCATGTGTCCTGGCAAGAAGGACAATGCTGCTAACAGGACTGTGCGTCATAGCGCTAGCGAGCAGCATTCGGACGACGGCAAGTTAAGTTCGGAAAACGCGGTATGAACGCATCAGGACGGAAAGCAATGTTCAACGGCTTGCACATGAACGGACGACGACGGATCATGGTACCGATATCCACAAAACGGTCCACTGCAGCCGGGCGGCAACGAACACTACTGTGCACGCGCGGCGCTTGGTGGGGTACGGTCTGAACCATCTATCGGAGATGGCACTTTTATGGAAACTAATCGCGTTGGGTCCATGACGAACTGAGACGATCAGTAACATAGTAGAGGACACAAAAGTTACTGACGAAACTACAGGTACTGAACGCGTGCACCATACACCGTGAACACGAGTCTTTTTATCGGCTAAAGCATAGCACGAGATGCACCCGCGCAAAACTATCTAGGCTTGCCATTAGAATACGAAACCACTACTCGGGCACGTCTACAACGCATTGTCTTGATGTTTGTTGGTGTTCTCATGCTTCCAAGAAACTCAGCACTCCACGGCTAAGACTGGATCAATTGCAGAATGTTGTACTTCGATGGAAGATTGATCTTTAATTATACTCTCGTCATTATAAATAAAGACGTTTTTGAATGGTCACAATCTCCATAATCATACATTTTTGGCCAACAAGAACACCAATAAACATAAACTTTTCAGAAGCTGTTGCAACTTATCACATCCACTGGTAAAACCGCTCGAACTAAGACCAACGTTCAATGTCAGACATAGACCCCAGTGCTCCAGCACCACAGCTTATCACATCTGCAGACAAGACTTGGATATCACACACACTGTTCCACCTCATAACATGCAGCCTCCCTACAAAGAAAAGAAAAAAGGAACGCTTAATGTGCACCACACAACCGTAACTCATACACCACTCATTTGAGTTCCCTGAGTTAACAGCGTTTGGGGATACATTGCAAGCTAGCGGCTAATAAAACGCCCATCTCCAGCTAGGTCAGTAAACAAATAAGGCACTACCGCTGCCTACAAAGGGAATGATTATTGTCATGTCATGCATAATGTAACAAATCAGATTACAAGGAGATAAGATATGACTTTAACTGCACCATGGCAATGATGCTACCATAAACTTACCTCAAAAGAAAGTCCCAAGTAAACAATTGCAGTCGCTATGTTGCGTTTCCGAGAAACAAATATCAAACAGGGATGTGAGCAACAGAGCCTAAAAAGCCATCACACATTCCAACCTTTGCCACAAACGCAAGCGCAACCATAATGAGCGAATCGTTCAACCACTGAGCACCGAGAGACTATCAGAGGGACACCTTGCCTGTCGGCCGTGCACCGCCGGCAGAGCTGGGACCATCCCCCTCCCTCCCGAAAGGCCACACAAGCCTCAGCAGGCAGGCCTCACTGCAAGGTCATGACACGCACGGGCCGGCAGAGCACTGATCTACTGGTCGTCACTGGACTCCGCCCACAGCCGGGTGGGAAGGCGGCATAGTGCGACGTCACTACCGAACCGCCTTCTACAGAAGAGCGACCTCACGACCGGGCCCCGCCCACAGGCGGGCAGTTCTACCAGCGGCGGCCTGTTGCCGGCCCCGCCCAAGGGCGTGCTGTTGGACACCACAGGCCCTTCTATCTCCGGCAGCTTGTTCCCGGCCCTGCTCACAGGTGGGGAGGGAGCCTCGGCTCCCACCCATAGGTGGGGGAGGGGCTCCGGCTTCAGTTCACAAGCGAGGGGGAGCCTCCAGCCGCTATCCACGGGCGGGCAGGCGGGCATCTGTTCCTGTCCGAGCGACGATCGGCGGGCTCCAGCTCTCCACGGGCTGACGGACACCACCTCACTGCCGTCCTGAGAAGAAAGTGCGCACCTCCTCCGAGATCTGCGGCAGCGTGTCCTCGTTGACGTCGACGAAGCGCTTCTGCTGGCGCGAGAAGTAGTGGATGTTGCCGGTGTAGATGTCGAACCAGAGCGCGTGGATGTGGATCTCGCCGCGCGTCAGACCGCGCTTCAAGAAGCCGTACGACGAGACGTTCTGCAGCTGCTGCAGCGTGTTTACCTGGCGGGCGCAGGGACGCGAATGGTCAGTGTACACCATGCACCCACATCCACTTACATTCAAGGTGTTTCAAGTAAAAAACACTAATGTGTGCCAATCCAGCAGCAAACACCAGGCCTAGATGCTTGTGCTTCAGTGACAGTAGCACGGCCAACGTCTCGTGCCGTGGCACATGCAGCATTCACCACCTGGTAACACCTGGTAACCACGATAGGGAGCGGCCCCCGTAAAGAAGCTGTGGCGATCACAAACGCAAGAAGATGTTCTATGATCAGTGTCGCCATTACATATCTGGCGGGCAGGTGGGGTCTCTACGGGCGGGTGTAGAGACCCGCCACGAGCATCGCTATCATGACTATCCAGTGTGTGGTGGCCTTTCTGGCACGAGGATCCTGCGATAGGGCGCACTGGCTCGGCAGTGGCACGGGAGCGCACGCGCGCCAGCACGCACCTGAGACAGCTTGTCGGTGATGTTGAACTGGTTCTCCGGGTCGATGTAGGCCACGAAGCGGCGCATGGGCAGCTCGCCCTCGAAGACGAGCGGCGCCTTGAAGTCTGACACCTGCATCTGCATCAGCTTGGTCAGGCTGTTGGAACCGTGCCGACAGACCCAGGCGGAGAGCGGCGACATGTGCAGCTTCTCCGGCGTCGCCAGCGCAGGGTCCCGCAGGTCGTACAGCAGGTTCATCGCCTGCGAAGCGGACGCCGCATGTGTCACGCCACCGACGGTAACGGCCCAATCTGACCAGCGACAATAACGGGGGATCCCATTACGTAACGACACGGCAGTCGGACCAGAAGCAGTGACGGGATTCAGTTACGTAACGATACGGCAGCCCGACCAGCGACAGTAACGAGAGTCCAAACAGGTTCGATCACAAGCAAACCAAATGTGCAATTTATTGACTATCTTGACTTCACATATCATGACATGAAGGGACGTCTGCGTGAGAAAGGTCGTATCAGTTATCATGGCTGACATGACGCGGCTACATGGTCACTTGATCGCCGTGACGCATACACCGTGCTTCGCACGGTTTCACTCGCCCCAGCTATTCGGGCCGACCCCTATCCTGAAGGGATCGTCGCTGCGGCCCAGGTCGAGGACCAGCAGAGACTGTCAGCAGGCAGCACCTTGCAGTCAGAGTGCCCACAGATGATGACATTTTTGATGCCATTGACGATGCAGCCCAGCTCCAGCGCCGCCGGCTCCGTAGATACCGTCTCGGTGTCATAAAGCTTCGCGTGTGGCACCAGGTTGCCGGCGTTGCGCACTGAAAGATGTCAGATGACCAGGGTTACTCACTGATGAGAATGCATGCAGGGAGTCTCACTGGGGTCCTTCCTAACTAAACTGTAGGGCAAACAGTTGTCAGCAGTACATACTGCACCAAATGGACAAACACCAGGCTTGCTCACTGACTGGCACCAGGCTGCCAGTGGCAGCTCTCTTTGATTATATGTTGGTGATTACCACATGAATAGTGTCACATGATATAGGGCAACAGGTTACCAGCCCTAGGCAATGAAGGGCACCAAGTGGGCAGCAGTCCACAACAGGCAGGAGTGTTTGAGACACAGAGTCACATGGTGGTGTCACTAACAAAACTAAGTACTATTACACTACAGCACACATGTGCCCAGTGGCATATCACTTAAAATCCCTTCATACTCACCTATAAACATGTCACCCACATTGGTGTATGTGAAACGAGTTGGCAGCATCCGACTATCCATGCAGGTGAAGAATATTGCTTTAGGCTGAAACACAAATTCATACCCAGCTGAACTTGACCTGGTATCAGAGATAGCATAAACACAAGTTTCAGACAGTCATTTGTAGAGCAATAGAAAATCATGCTACCTAATAGGGCTTTCAGGCATAACCAACAAAAATTGTTGTATATTCAATGGCACCTTCAGTTGACTATCTTGTATGGTAATAATATGACAACTGTGTCACAAGGAGTACACCCACAGATACCTCGCGTAAAAGAGCCCGTACTGAAACCTAAATTTACAGGAATGTTGTACAAATATAATCCTGTTGGCAAAGGAAAATATAATAAAATAATCAATAGATACACAAACTTTCCCAAAACCAAATAACACTTAAGTGTATGCAACCTCTTCTATTTGACAACTGGCTTACAATGGGATTATCCTTGACTTGCTCAAACTGCTCCACCATGCCATGTCTAAAGGTGTGTCTGTATTTCAGGATGCCCTTCAGGATCTTGTCCATTGCCTGTACTGAAACATCCAGTTGGTTATCCTTTCAGTGGGTTAACCATGACTTTTTAATTACTTCTTTTTGAAGCATTTCTGATAACAACATTTTTTAATGCTACAAATTTGATAAAGCTATCATGATGCCTGCTTTCAAATGCAGTAGGATTCTGACCTATCTCAAGCAGAGCAGTAGGGGTATTCATTGCCATTCTGACCCATATTGAGCAGAGCAGCACGGGCCATCAGTTACAGAGTGGGACCACTAAAGCCTTGAGGACCACTAAAGCCTTTGCCCATCAAATATCATTGCCTCTTGCCCCAAACAGAGCGGAAAGCTGCTAAATTGAGCCCCATCGAGCCCCTCCCCCCTGCCCCCTCGGCTGGTCTGCCACCTTAAGCGTACACAATCCAGTCTTCTTCAAGCAATTCACCTCTTTTTTATGGGTGCGTTCGGTCGATGGCAACGTATTCAACGAATAATTACGTCTCCGCTGCCCGTCCACGAATATCCCCACCTACGCAGGGCAGGTCCGGAAATTACACCCCAGGTTCGTCTCCCATGCGCCATGTACATCTAAAATAGCAAAGAAGATGTCAGCGTAGCTTTGTTTCCAAGTCGCTAGAGGCGTTTCCTCCCGAAATATCTCACGGTGAGGCTGGAAGTTCTGACTGGATTCACCAGCAATGCTGCCAGCTTAAGAAGATGAGTGCTACTAAACGCACTGGCATGCTGCGTGACGTTGGGAAGGCAAACATGCCAAATAGGGGCAGTTTTGGGAACCAGTCCCAGTTTGCAGGGAGGCAGGGAGGGCGGGCGAGGAGGAAGCTTCTTCAGTTCCTTAATAAACCTTGCCCACTGAAAGTTTATGCTGAACCTGAACCTGGTGCAAACATGTTCCAAACACGGGTCGGGTCAAATCGCACCAGCCTTTCAAATAATTATTGTTTCAAGAGGGTTGTGGGGCATCCATGTCTAAAATTACTCCTGAATTATTATAAATGATTGAATCATTGGCTCCCTATGCACTTACATTGGTAATCAGTGGAGCAGACAGGGGGGGAGGGGGCCGAATGCACGTGCCCCTTAGGTTTCAGAGGCCCTTCGGGCCCGTCGGCACCTTCAATTACGCACCCAATTTGAGAGCCCGAAGGGCCCTACAGGCCGACTGGAAGTTTCATTGAGGGGCCCGGGCCGCAGGCCCGGGCAGTTTAATGCCATCTAGAGGGCCCTGCGCGCTGATCAGGAGCCTTTTAAGTTGATAAGGTCGTCGTCCTATATAAGGCTCTATATGTTGGTCAGACTTCACCAAATACACACAGTTGGCTCCGTGTCCGCATGGGCCTGACGGTCCATTCCCCAAGCAGGGGCAAAGCAGAAGCCAGTGATTTACGTCATTCGGGGCTCCAGCGCCTGCTATGGGCTGACAGCACCTAACAGGGGGATCTCTGTTGGCAAAGCGGCCAGGTCGACCAGAGGAAGTGTTCGAGGATGCCCAAAGAGCCTGGAGGGCCCATCGGATCCGAAAATCAAGTACCCGATGGGATGGCTTAAGGGCATGAAGTGCTGGCCGGGTGTTATTTGGGATTTCCAGTCTTCAGGGACGGACCCTAAAATGACAGGGAGCCCTTTGCGCCGATCAGGAAACCCCAGAGCCAATATGGGCCTAGAAGTCGGTCAGGCAACACCAGTACCGCACAGTGCGTCCCGTATTGATATGGACCTGAGGGCGCACTTCGCAATCAACTACAAAGTCGGGTTAGCGATTTACACTAGTCGGGCCCCTGCATCAGTCAGGGGCCTGCAGTGCCTAACAGGGTCCAGTGTTTTCAACAGGTCCCGAGCCGACCAAAAGAAGTTTTCGATAAGGCCTGAAGAAGGGCCTGAACGGCCCAGCGGAACCGACAATCAGGGCTCGGTTGGAGGACTTTAAACCTCGAAGGACTCCCTGTAGGCTAAATGAAGAATCGCGACCCGTAGGATCGTATCCTTAATTGTCAGTCGGAGGCAGGACGGTCAAGGATCTCGCCAAGGGGGGAAGCAAGGTTGTTGGACACATATAATTTAACCCCCTCACCCAAAAAATCTTCAGAGTCCGGCCATCGAATTTTAAGATTCTTAGCATGCTATTTTTTATACCGAAACCCATCTTGCTGTTCGCATCCCCAGCAAACCTGGCATGCTACGTATGTGCATACGTGAAGCTCATTGACTTTCTCCAGATCATGGCGAATCCTGTCATTTTAAGGCTAAGTTTTTTCGGAAAGAAATTGGCAAAATAAGCTAACGTTGGTTGCTACATACCAATACAATCAAGAGCTTGAACCCTAGCACATTTACAGCTAGCCGGCTGGTCCATGTGACGAGTTGATGACTGATGACAACTGCCGAGTTCCTGCTTTGTTTGTTATGAAGGAGTACAAAATATCCTAGCATTGAAAAATACCATATGAAATGGATAAGAATGTGATGCATAAGTATAATAAGTGTCACAAATTTAACAACCAACAGAAATGTCACACGACGCCGACACCGGCACGTAAGATTTTGCTCGACCGTTACGCGTGAAAATTCATCGGCGCATATCCCGCTGCTGCTCTCAGACTAAGGCACCAAGGCCAGCAATGACGAAACCTGAGCGATCATGAATGCCGCGGCAGGCCAAAAAAGGCTTCCGTTAACAACCACGGGGTCCTGAGGGCAAGTGAGAAGAACCCAAGAACACCATGATAGGCTGCTGTACGATCGGGAGTGCCCCAGCAGGCTGACATATAGGACCCGGCCAGGGCAAAGGGCCATTTGTATAAAGGGCTGGTGTCCGTGTGCGTATCCAAGACCAGCGTGCGTGAGTGAATGCCCCTGTGCGATAAAAAAACGTTCGGGCAGGTTGACGGAAAGGGCCGCGAAGGGAGTGACGGGTCCTCCGCAATCGACATCGAAGCGAAAGAGCCCTAGGTCACTGCAAAGGGCCCCTGAGCATCGAGTGACGCAGCGCCTTATCTTATATTGGCCCCAGCAGCAGCACAAGGCCCTTCTAGGAAATAGAAAGAACCCGAAACCTAGGACACCCCATCCAAATAATCAATACCCACGGCACAACGTGAAGGGCCCAAACTATCGAGTGCACCCGACCAGGTTAACAAATATGGCCCCGACAGGTGCGTGGGACCCTCCATGCAAATAGGAAGTACTAAAGACCCATTTTAGATGACCCCTGAACGGCCGAGTGTGCCCTAGCAGTGTACCACATGGAGAAACCCAAAAGGAGCATAGGGCCCTCCATTCAAATGAGAAATACCCACGGCACAATGTAGAGGACACTTGAACGATCAAGTGGGCCAGAGCAGGCTATCAGAAGGAGCCCCAACAAGAACGTAAGGCCCTCCATACAAATAACAAGTGCCAAGACCTGGTGTAGAGGGCCCCGAAAGATCGAGTGTATACGCACAGGCTATCCCATGACCCCTGACAGGAGCGAAGAGCCCTACATTCACATGCCAATGCACGAAGTTCAGGGCCCTTCAACAATCCAGTGTGCCTGGGGAGGTGAACAGGTGGGGCCCCCGGTAATTGCGTAGGGCTCTCTATTCCAATAACGAGTACTTAGGACACAGTGTGGAGGGCCCCAGCAATCAAGTGTGCCCCAGCAGGGTAAAAGATGGGGGACCCCGACAAGAGGATAACGCTCTCCATTCAGATGAGAAACACCCACGGCACAATGTAGAGGACCCCCAACGATTGAGTGGGCCAGGGCAGGATAAAAGATAGGACCCCGACAAGAGCGCAGGGCTCTCCATTAAAAAAGGGAAGTACCCAAGACCCAAGACCCGACGAAAGAGGCCCCCGAACGATCGAGTGTGCCCGAGCGGGTTATCAGATGGGGACCTGACAAGAGTGTAGGGCCCTTCATTCAAATAAGAAGTGCCCAAAACTCAGTGTGGAGGGCCCCTGAACGATCGAGTGTGCCCATGCAGGCCGTCAGATGGGCCCTAAAGGGAATGTTGAGCCCTGCATTCAAATACCAAAAACCAATGTGCAGGGCCCCGAACAATCTAGTGCATCCGAGCAGGTTAACGGATAGGGCCCCCACAAGTGCATAGAGCACTCCATTCAAATAGAAAGCTCTCAAGACCTGATTTGGAGGCCCCTAAACGACCGAATCAGCCCAGGTAGGTTAACAGATGGGCCCCAGACAAGAGAGTAGGGCCCTAAGCAAGTGTTGGAAAATTGGAAGGGCCCTAGACAAATATAGAGGGCCCACGAGCACATCTTGAGTGTGCTGGTAGCTTAACTGTGACCAACATGAAGGGCCCCTGAGCAGCCGATAATACTCCGGCATGTCAACAAATCGGGCCCTCGGCTCTGGCGTATAGAGCGTTTCAGGCGAATGTTAAGAATTCATGGAAGGCCCATAACTGAAAAAGAGTGCCCCGACACGCTGGCGAGAAGGGCCCATCAACAGTGCAGGGCTCTGCGAGCAAAAGCAAAGAAATCAAAAGCAACGAAAAATAGGGGCCCAGAAACAGCGTTGGGCTTCTGGATAGCGTAAGCAGTCTTAAGATCTCCAAATCACCGCCCTCTCATTCAGTGAAAAATAATTGTTGTTTGCTAGAGGGCCGGTAACTTCCGCTTAGACTGTTATTGGTCGCCTGGAAGTCCAAAGACGAACCGATTTCGCTATGTTCTGTGTCAAAAAACTGCGTCCATTCTGACAGCTATGGTCGTCCTCGGAGCAAAGGGCTCCCCCCCCCCTCGGAGCCTAAAGGGCGTGACCCCCTCCCCCTCTGGGTCCGCCCATCGTCAGAGGTCCTCTTGCACCGTTTGATGACACCTTGTCATAATGTAAGTGTCTCGGTCGGCCAGATACCACGGGCACCAAACAGTTGGCTCTCTGTCAGCCTGAACCCTAGGGGCCCATTTCATTAGACTGCAGTTCCTTGCACTGTAGTCTGTGGAGGACCCATTCTGGCCAGCAGAGGGCTTATTATTGACTGTGGAGGGCCAATTTTGGCCTGCGGGGGACCCATTGTGACCTGAAGAAGAGTCATTGTTGGCTGCGGAGGGCCCATTCCGGCCTGCAGAGGGCCCATTACAAGCTGTGTGGAGCACATTTAAGTCTGTAAGGGGCGGGCCATTCTGACCTGTAGAGGGCCCATTCTAACATGCAGAGAACATATTATCGACTATGGAGGGTCCATGCCAGCCTGTAGAAGGGTTCATTCAGGTCTGCAGAAGACCCATTCTGGCATGTAAAGAGCCCATTCTGCCGTAACGAGGGCTCACTCTGGCC